TGAAACCAAATCTACCTCTGGACTTTTCTTTCTTCCTTTTTTTTTTTTCCTCTCTTCCGTTTGTTTCTCTCTCTCTCTCTGGCCCTAGGCAGGGTATGTTAATTTGAGATGATCTCAGCCACCTTGAACTCAAAGTGTTCAGACTAATTCATTTCCATGGGTAGAATCATGAACGCTCTACCAGCCTCCTAGAACCTCTGGGGCTGCCCCTAACACAGCACTTACCACGAAACTGTACCTGCACAAGGAATTGGGGCCCCTGAGATTGAGTCTTTGTTATAGCACCACACTTCTGCTTACCTCCTCCCTGCTTCCTAAACACGGATGTGTCGCGTTTCTTTCTGCAACCAGAGGATCTGTCATAAAGAGGTGTCCACTGAATAACTTAAAATGGATGAGTGAATGAATGACAGTCTTCTAGTTGGCCAGGAGACTTTACAGAGCAAGAAAGGAGAATTTGTTCAGAAGCCTGTTATGAGGCCCAAGTTACCCTCAATGCCTCTTCAAGCTGACAAAGGACTATTATTTCTTAATCTCTTCATCCAGGCCACAGTTGAACCAGCCACACCCCTAGAACACAAACCAGGCTCCTATTACAGAAAGACAAATCTGACCTGGCCACTTCCCTGCCTCAAACAACTTTCCGTGATGTGTTTGGCAAGAGGGGGTAGAGACCAGTGAGCATTTGGAGCCAGAGCACTCCATTATAGAATGTTCATGCGTTTATCAATTGATGCATTCAGCAATCATTTAATTAGCACCTGCTGTATGCCTGGCCCTTGTACATGGTACTTCATCTTCACAGCAAGCTTTTAGGGCCATGTATTTGTTAACTGTTGCTGCCTAACAAATTGCCCCAAACTTGGTCACTTAGAACAACAAACTTGTCATTTCATGGGATCCAGATGCAGCTCAGCCACATGCCTCTGGGTCAAGATCTCCCGGGAGGTTGCAGTCAAGTGGTGGGTCAGGGCTGCGGTCATCTCAAGGCTCAACGGAGGCTGAGGGATCCACTCCAAGTTCAATCACATGGTTGCCGACAGGCGCCAGAAGATTCGCTAGTGAGCTCTCCCATGGGACCTCTCCACAGGGCTGCTGGCTTGCCCAGAGGGACTGATCCGAGAAACAGTGTTCAAGGCAGAAGCCACCATCTTTCTGTATCGTAGTCTTAGGAGCGACATGCCACTGTATCTGCCATATTCTGTTCATTCAAAGTGAATCACAAGTCCAGCCTACACTATAAGGACGGAGATTATGAAAGTGTTTGAATACAAGGAGGTGGATTAATTGGGATGGTGATTTTAGAGGTTACCTGACATAGGAAAGGTATTATTATCTTTCACTGCATACTCAGACAACAGCTAGTTAAACTATGTGTCCTTGTCTCTCAGCTAGAGAGTCACCTGATTGCAGTGCTTTACCATTTCACTAAGCCTGTTGGCGGTGAGGTGGAAGAAGGCAGGGAGAAGGTGCTGGTAGAACAACGAATGGGGGATGGCGTCTTTATTGACTATCTATACTGTGTAACTGAATACCGACAACTTAGCAGCTTACAATAAACATTTATTATCTCACATAGTTTCCAAGAGTCGGGAGGAATCTGGGAGTGACTTAGATGAGTGGCTCTGGGTGAGGGCTTCTCCTGAGGCTGGAGTTGAGCTGTGGGCTGGAGTTGCAGCTCTGAAGACTTGGAGGCTAAGGATCCACTTCTAGGATAACTCGCTCACACGGCTGTTATCAGGAGGCCTCAGTTCTTCGCCATCTGACCCCTGTCTAACCACGCTTGAGTGTCTTTATGACCAAGAAGCTGGTTTTCTCCAGAACAAGTGATTCAGGAGAGCCTAAGGGGAAGCCTCAATGTCCTTACTACCTAGCCTGCAGAGTCATATGAGGTGATTTCTGCAACGTCCTGTTGGTTAGCCAGCTTGGCATTTCGCATTGTGAGAGGTGATTACACAAGGGCATGGGAATATCAGCCACCCGAGGCTGGCTACAATAGGGTCCTGAAAGATTAGCAATCCTAAAACTCAGTTTTTAGTAAGTTTCTCCCTTGGTCAAGAGATGCAGGGTTTTCTCATTTACTGTAACACAACATCTGATTTCCTTTGTTCCATCTTACACTGTCTTCTGGGCACACAGGCCATCTGGGACTGGCTTACAGACCTCAAGAGTCCCCACAGAGATCTTTGTTGATGTGTCCCCTCCCCGCATTCTCTCTGGGAATTCTTAGAGAAGGCCTGCCTCTCTGGGAAAATGCCACTCAGCCTTCAATACATAGTTGTGGCCCCCCACCTGCCCCACCACGTGCAGGCTCTGGTTGGGTGCCAGGACAGTGATGAGAAAACAGACATCCATCCTCCACGGAGAACTTCCAGTCAACATGGAGAGGTAGACACGAGCCAATTAATACTAGTCTCATCACAAACTGTGACAATTTCTCCCCCTAAAAACCTATGGGTGTCATGTGACCATATAATGGGGGTCCTGGCCTATTCTGCATGTGGTAGCTGAACCAAGTCAAGAAATTAACTAGGCTGGGCAGGTGTATTAGTACTAGGCTCAGGTGTAAGTGTCTGAAAATACAACATAACAGTAACTCAAAGCAGACATGTGTGTTTCTCTCTGGCTTAGAAGTTTGGGGAGATGTCTGAGGACAGGTACTGTGCCAATCAGGGTCAGGGACCCAGGCCCCCTCTCTCGTTGCTCTGCTCTACACGACCTTCACTGAATGGAGCGGGATGGTGGTATCCTCATTCTGGGTAGCCAGAGGGAGAAAGGGACACGATGGGTCATATCCACCAATAAACCCTGAAGCAGCTACGTCTCTTTACATCTCAATGGCCAGAATTTAGTCACATGACCACACCTAGCTGCAAGGTAAGCTAGGAAATGTAACTTTCATTCTGAGCACCCGTATGTCCAGCCAAAAATCGGGAGCTCCATCTTCATGCAAAAATAGCAATCATAGTCAAACCTCTCTTACATTACTCTGTGCTAGGCACTATCCTAAATCCTTGACATTCATCAACACATTTTATCCTTCCAACAGGTCTATGAGGAAGGTACTATTATTGTTCTAATTTTACAGATGAGGAAACCGAGGTACAGAAGTAAAATAAATTAGTAAGTAGACAGACTAGAATGTGACCCCACGCAGTTTGGCTCGAGTATGGGCTCTGTTACCATAGCTAAGAGTTATGAAGAAAGGGAGAATCTACTGGGAGGCATGCATATTCTCTGCTCAGTACAGCGGGGGGAACACAGAGAGATGAATGTGCTCAAGGCAAAAGAAACCACAAACGCAGAAGTCCCCCATCCCCCCAAAACAAGGTCCTTTATCACAGTGTCTCTATGAATTAAATGTGCCAATGAATCTTTTGGAGACCGTGTGAAATGCACACTTAATTCAATAGGTCTGGGCTGGAGCTGAGAATTTGCCCCATGGGGCCTATGCAGTTGGTTGGTGGACCACCACCAGACTGTGGACGAGACTTTGAGAGGGAGGACTCATTGTCAGATGCTTACCACTGTATGACTCCCCTCCTATATAGGGCCAGGCAAACAGTCTTTTGGGCTCAGTGGCTACTCAAGGCCCCTTCAACCTTTCTACTGCTCCTAGGATTCAAGTTCCAGCTGAGATTTCCTCCTCTCTCCCAAGAGTGCCAGGCCCCTTGCTGGCTGAATGAATGAATGAAAAGGGAAGAACAGGCAACACTGCATAGGATCCAGAGGAAGAGTGTGGTTCACAGCCCACACTCTACACCAGACAGGAACGGGCACCATGCATTCTGAATCCTCCCAGAGGAATAGGTACCACCATTTCCCTCTACAGATGAGAAATGGCCTGCTGGCCCTGCTTTTTGAACAGGAGCCCCACCCCCCTCTTCCTCCCTTGGGATTTTTCAAGCCTCTCTATTAGCAGAGCCTTGGAGGTGGGGCCAATCATAGAAGGGGAAGTTCAAAATGAGTTTCTTCCACCTGGGTCTTGTATTACAACTACCAGCTCCTCTCATTTAGCAATCCTGAAAGGAGATGCTGATTACCTGTGAATTTCACAGAAGGAAACTGAGGCTCAGAGAGGTCTACCCTGGGCCAAGTCACACAACAGGTCTTGGTCTGCTGTCCACAATAGGCTGGGCTCAGAGCCAGGCTCAGTGAGTACCACTGAAATGAACCATATACTGCAGATGCAAGCAAAGAAGTAGAGCTGGCAGGCCAACCACAACAGCTCGGGTGACAAGCCTTCACTAGGTGCCAGGCATCACACTGCGCAGCCTCCCGACTTTGTCACTTGACCCCAGGGAAAACCTCTTCCAGTAACTGTCATCAGCTTCTTCCTGCAGATGCGGGAAGGGTCTGGACTCAGAGAAGCCCAGCGCGCTTCCGAGAGGCTCAGCAGGGACGTGGCTGGGTCCACTTTATAAATCTAGGCCTGCCTGACCTCCACATTTCTTTCACGGTATAAGGCCCTTTACTCAGAGTTAGAGGCTACGCATAGCCCAGATCTGTACCATGCCACTTAATTTGCACAACTCAAGAAAGTGAAAGTCGCTCAGTCGCGTCCAACTCTTTCCGACCCCAGGAACAGTACAATCCATGGAATTCTCCAGGCCAGAATACTGGAGTGGGTGGCCTTTCCCTTCTCCAAGGGATCTTCCCAACCCAGGGAATCGAACCCAGGTCTCCCGCATTGCGGGCAGATTCGTTACCAGCTGAGCCAGCAGGGAACCCCAAGAATAGTGGAGTGAGTAGCTTATCCCTTCTCCAGCGGATCTTCCCGACCCAGGAATCGAACCGGGGTCTCCTGCATTGCAGGCGGATTCGTTATCAACTGCGCTATCAGGGAGGCCTCAACTCAGGAAAACCGGTTTGCAAATGCGAAATAACGGAGGCAGTGGGATTTGCTCAAGGCCACAGAGAAACTGATGGAAAACGCAGTGGGGGCGGGGGCTGGGAAGGCATGAATAACTGTATCTTTGGGTGCTCCCTTCCTCTCCAAGCCTCGAGCCCCACCGCGCGCCCCCCGAAGGCCCGCCCCTCCGTCCCGGCACCCAGCCCCCACCCCAGCCCCCAGGCCCCTTTAACGGTGCGGCGGAAGGGGCGGCCGGGGGCGGGGGCGGTGCCCAATGCGCCGAACTGAGCGTCACTTCCCGGCGGCCGGAGGCAGCGGCGAGTGTCGGAGGCGGGGGGCGGCCGGTGGGGGCGGGGCGGCCGGAGGCGGTGTTGGCAGCCGGCTGGGACCCACGCGGCGCCGCGGCCCACCTGGCCTGCAGCGCTCCCATCCCTGGCGGCGGCGGCGGCACGATGCCCTTTGACTTCAGGAGGTGAGTGTGGCAACGCCGGCGCGGGGCGTGCTCGGGCACGCTGCGGACCCCTCCCGCCTGAAACGCAAAAGCAGTCTTCCCCCCATGCATGCCTCTGCCGGCCCTCGGGGACTCCAGGCGGGCCCCCTGCCGCACACAAAGCCAGCCGGAGGCTCGGAGGGCCTCGTGCAGCGGGAAGCGGGGCCACCCACCTCTCAGGCCGCTCCGCCCCTTCCCTCCCGGGGTCCCCCTCCCCAGGCTGCCCTGACACCTCGCAAAGTCGCATCCCCTTTCCCCCATACTGGGAAAATTTCCTCCTTCCCCTAGATGGGAGCAATCGAGCTAAGAAGCCATCCCCTTCCTCCCCTCTACAGAGCCTTCCTGAACCCCACCCCAGTGACAGGTGCGTCCAGGGCACCTTGGATGAGCCCCCAGGGGTCCCCAGGGGTCTGCAGCCCCCTCCCACCAGGCAGCTGCTGGAGGGTTTCAGGTTTCCGGAGGCTGAGCCTCTCCCCACTGCCTCCAGCTGGAGGCCTGTCCCTCTGCTGGTCCTACTCCTGTGCTCTGGGTCTGGGGGCTTCTTGGGGGGAGGGGAGGAGACCAGACTGGGGACCTGTGGGCAGGACTTTGCAGAGAGGGCCCGGCCCGGCCTGGCCTTGGCTTTCTGCAGTCACCACAGTGAGCCCTTTGTGGGGTCCGGCCGCCGCCTGGTCCACGCTGTGCTGGGCTAGGCCTTCTGGAAGCCTGACTGACAGGGTCTCCACCAGACTTTCCCCTGAGGTATGGAGGGTCTCCACCAGACTTTCCCGAGGTATGGAGCCCCAGGGGCTGCCCTGGCCTGAGGCAACATTCCTGCAGGTATATACCAGGGGAACATAGCAGGGCTTGAGTGGGTTAGAATTTAGTGCCAGCTGAATTAGAATCCTGTCTCTGTCCCCTCCACTGAGCAGGTTGGTATATTCTGGAAGTTGGGGCGAAGGCTCTGGGTACAGACTTCCCCTGAGCTGCTCAGCTGGATGACTTGGGCAAGTGTCTGAACCCTCTCAGTATCTCTGTCACCACCTGCAGATTGGGGCTAAAAATAAAGTCCCACCTGGGAGGGCTGAGAGCGTGAGAAGTGCTTAATTCACCAGTGCCTGGTGGGGTGTGGAGTTCAGAAGTGGGACGTTAGTGGACCAGCCGCCTCTCCATGAGGCCGTTTCCTCACCCACAGACGAGGGGTTCTGGTCCCTCCCTGCTGGTGTGAATGAAGCCAGGGTAAAGTGCCAGCCTTCCTGGAAGAAAGCCTGGCGGTGACCCCCAGGCGTGTGGGCATACTGGGGTGTCAGCCTGAAGAGCATGGTGGCCTGGGAACTCTTGCACTGGCGGGCATGGAGCTCAGCCTGCCGTGGGCACCGTGGCCGTCTCTCAGCCTGCCGTGGGCACCGTGGCCGTCTCTCAGCCTGCCCCTTCCACGCAGCTCTGGGGCTGACACCAGGGTAGTTTTCAAACCAGGAGAGGCTCCTCTGATGGAATTCAGGGGCAGACCTCATGCCAACAGTAAACATTCAGGCCACAAGAGAACTGTAGTTGGCACTTCGATTCCTGGTTCCATAAAGCCTCCCCTTACCCAGGCTGATAATTCCTGCCCTCGCCTCTGTCTTCTGTATGGTTCAGTAGATTCTGGTGATTTTGACTTTATTGAAGAAGTCACTGCTTTGGGGCATACAGTTCATTCACTCTGCACCTAACCTCACATTTTAAGGGAAGGAAGTTGAGGGCTGAGGGTCTTGCCCTAGATTGAAGGGTGGGCCAGGGTCCCAGGTTGCACAGAATTCTTGACTTGGTGCCCCTTGAGTTGGAGATGGGGCATGTCCAGGTGCCATGGGAGCCCCAGCATAATGAGGTGTTTTAATCAATTTCCTTGAAAGCTTGTGCTACTCCAGAACAGTGAGAATGTATTCAACACTTTCCATTCACACCTTGGAGTATGAGCCTAGTAACCTGCGTGTCTAAGATGTGCAGGGCTTAGGTTCAAAGGAAGGGTCCGCCGTCCCATGCACTTCAGTGTCATTGATCAAACATTGACTGAGTGTCTGCCCTGTGCTCAGCCCCCACCCAATGCCCCACTGCAGAGCTGGGTGACATGTGGCCTGTTTGCCCAGGCCCAGGCGGTGGTGAGCTGATGGAGCTGGGATTCAAACCGGGGACTGGTGGTTCCAAAGTCTTGGAGCTTCGTCTGTTAGCCGTGGGTGAAAAGGGAAGACTTGGAGGGTCCCCAGCCCTGTCAGATCTCTTAAAAACCTTGGGGGAGAGAGAGAAGGACATGGCAACCCACTTGCAGTATTCTTGCCTCGGAAATCACATGGTCAGGGGAGCCTAGTCGTCTACAGTCCGTGTGGTCGCAAAAGAATCACTGAACAGTAACTTCAGAGGATCCACTCCACCAGCAATATGGGCTGCCCCAGCAACCCCAGAGACGACCTGCAGTTTTGCATGGTCTTTTTGTAGTCTCTTCTACGTGTGTGCGTGTGTGACGTTTGTCTTGACACTTTCCACTTGATTTCTCTCTTGTTCTGTAGTTTGGATTTTATATTCTCAATAGGTTTATACAGCCACTGAATTGTGGTCACAACTATATGAACGTTTAAGAACACATAGCAGTTTTGTTACGGGTATATAGTGGTGCAGTTTATGCTCAACTTATGTTTAGTGAAATGTACATGTTGTAATTAAATAACCCTTAATACAAAAAAAAAAAAAAAGACCACAGGAGATGAGAGGGACATATTCTGGTTGAATCCCCCTGCTCCCAGTTCAAGGCCAGGGAGAAAACCAGGCTTCCTGCTCATTTTGCTCTCCTTAATACAGAATAAAATCAAGAAGGGGGAGTTGGAACCGCTTGCCCTTTCTTAGGAGCCCTTCTTGCTTTCTTCGTGCTTGTGGGACCTCACCTCCTGTGTGCTTTCCTGTCTGTGAAATGGGGATGAAAACAGTACCCATTGTTGAGAAGATTCACTGAGCCACTGTGTGTAAAGCACTTAGATGCAGAGTAAGCACCCAGGAAATTTTAGCCACTCTTTTCGTTATTGGTGTTATTTCATCGAAGCATCTATGTTGCCTAACACTATATAATTCATTTAATTATTTTGTGCTTATTTTCTTCCTTCCTCCCATGAAAACATGAGCTCCCTCAGGCAAAGCTTTTTATCTGTTTCCTTCATTGTTGTAACTCCAGTGTCTAGAAAAAATTGCCAGGGCCACCCTGGACCTGAGGAGGGTCTCTCAGAGTCTGTTCGGGAGGCCAGTTATAATCTGATAGTGCCATTTCTTCCTTTGCTGGGAGCCTTTTGGGCCCTGGGTGGGTCATTCCCCTCCGTCGTTGAACGGGTGCCTCTCAGTTGTACTGGGGGTGGGGAGGAGGCCCAGCTCTCGGAGGTGGCTGTGTTTGTCTTGCTCCCAGGGCTTTGATTCTTTAGTCGCTGGATCTTAAAGTGGTGGAACTGGCCTTGTGACCCAGTTCCGTGGGTGTTGGCCCTGCCGGACCCAGTTCCGGCTGGCAGGGGCCGGAACACCTGCTGTCTCTGGCTTGGCCCGCGGTGGGGGGCAGGGGTGCAGTTCTCATAGCCAGACCCAGAGGAGCCTGAGCAGGACTTGAGGCACGCAGAGGTGGCCAGCTACCCCACAGCGGCAGCCCCTGAGTTGAAACGCGAGGACCTGGGGCATGATGCTCCCCTGTCACTGACCATCAGGCCCCGGGAGAGTTGACTTAACCGTCTCTGAGCCTCGGTTGCTTCATTTTCAGGAGATGGCCACCTTTGTTGCCTTCCCCGGTAGGGTGGATGCAGGGGCAAATGAGCTGTCCCTGCAGGGTGTGGTCCGCTACATGGTTTGTGGGGCCCAGTGCAAATGAAAACGCAGGACCCCTTGTTGGAAAAGTATTGAGCTTGTCAGGACAGTGACAGCAGAACATTAAGCCAAGTCTGAGCGCAGCCCTCCAAGCGTGGGGCCCTGTGTGACCGCACAGTTCTCAAGCCCGTGATGCCGGCTCCTCTGTTGGCACCTTGGTTCAACCTCCATCGCCTCTCACTCTTGCCTTCCGAATGGTCGGGCATCTCCAAGAGACCCTAGGTCTCCTCAGAGCCCCAGGGGAGCTTTCTGAAGTTGATGTGATTTTTTTCACATCCTGGTTTCAGCCTTCAAGTAGGGCCTGTAGCTCTGATCAAGGGCAGTTTCCTTAGGGCCCCACGTGGCCTTGCCCGAGGGGGTCCCTGCAGCCCCCTTCACCCCCTGCAGCAGTGTCACTCCCAGCCACCACGGCGGGCTCCGAGCACACAGCCCGCACTCGGCAAGTAGCAGCTTACCTGGGTGTATTTCTGCCTGCTTCATCCCAGAAAGAACTTGGGTAAGCTGATGGAAACACATACTTTACAACAAGTTTAAAGAAATAGACTTAAAAATAAGGGTAAAAGGGAAATAAAGATCAGACCAGAGGAAAAATTTAGGTGAAAGTCAAGCCAATATTTTGTGTTTATTGAGCACTTACTAGTGCCTGACTCTTGTAAGAATCCTGCCTGTGTTCATTTAATCCCTCAGTAACCCTCCAAGGCAGACACTGTTGTTATCCCATTTTACGGATGAGCCAGTTGAGGTGCAACAGAGGTAAGGGACATGATGGATCAGCAGAAAGTACTGGGGGTTGGAACACCTGCTCTCTGACCCAGAGCCCTGCTTGTATCCTGAAGGTGCATCTCTAAAGCTTTCCCCTTCCATTCACCGAGTTCAGAGAGAACCGAATCCCCCTCTAATTGGATTCATTGGTTTTCTCATCTCTAATCCTTTCCCAGAAGTGCTCCTTAAGAAGCTTAAAGTCACCAACCTTTGTTTTTTTTAACTAGCCTCCTGTGGTCTGACACCTGATTCTAAAATTGTCTTTAAAGACCCCCCCACCCCTCCCCCACCCCCCACTATGGTCTCACAGTAATTTAGAGCAGTGGTCCCCACCCTTTTCAGCACTGGAGACTAGTGTCATGGAAGACAGT